CCAGCAGGGGGCTGTTAGGGAGAGAATTCGAGAGAGAGAGAGCCCAGATGTCAAAACCCACCATTTGTAGACCCCCCTTCCCCCCCCATTTCCAGTTAGGATATGGGGGTCCATCACTGGCTGGGAGCACACAGGGCTCTAGGTCATGAGTGAGGGGCACCAACAGGGCCTGGGGGAGCAGGGGGCTTTGGGCCAGGAGTGAGGGGCATGGGCGTGAGGGGAGTCCTGGGTGCCCTTCTTCATCTTGCTCCTCCCCCCCACAGACGCTCCAGCTACGTGGTCACCACCAAGATCTACTGGGGCGGGCAGTGAGTCCAGGGGCAGGGCTCTGGGAAGTGGGCGGGGCCTCCCTGGGTAGGGCTGGGTGTCCCTGGGTCAGGGCAGGGCATCCTGGGGGGTGGTGTCCCTCTGATGGGGCTCTGCGGGTCCTGGTCTGCCACTGGGTCTCAGCTGTGCCTTTCCCCACCCACCCTGACAGAGCAGAGACAGAGCGGGGCCTGTCCCGGAAGCACATCATTGAGGGTAAGGGGCACAGGGGTGGGTCAGGGCTTGCTGAGTGAGAGGCAGGGCTAGTTGGGTGGGGAGTGGTCATCTGGGTGGAGCTAGTTGGGTGGAGTGAGGCTAGATGGGTGGACCAGGGATGTGGTGGTTGGTGGGCCTAGATGGGTGGAGCAGGGCAGGGGGCAGAGCTAGCTGCACCGAGGCCCCGCCCCATATCACCTGGTCCCGCCCCCAGGCCTGCGGGGGTCGCTGCAGCGCCTGCAGATGGACTATGTGGATGTTGTCTTTGCCAACCGCATGGACGCTGCCAGCCCCATGGAAGGTGAGGCCCTGCCCCCTACCGCAGGCTCCACCCTCTCAGGTGCCCTGCCCCATCACCAGGGGTCCAACCCGAGGGGTCTCCCCTTACCTCTTTGTGCTTTCCCCCCGCCTGCAGCCTCTGACCCGAGCTTCCGCCTCCTGCTGCTGGAAGGTACCGGAGACCCCGCCCCTAGCAGAGTAACCCCCAACCCCCCCATGACCCCTGCACCCTAGAGCCCCTAGACCCTCCCTTGAGACCCCCGTAGCCCCTTCACCCCCCCAGATACAAATGGTGATCCAACCTTGTCATCAGTAGGTTTCAGAGTGAACACTGGGTGGGAATATTACAGGGGGGCAACTCTGCCCCCGCAAAGGGGCAGGAGGGTCCACACCCAACGCTATGATTGGGTAGGGGGGGGATGTTTCACCCCTTCCGAGCCTCTTGGGGGTGGAGCCTGCCATCGGTAGGCTTCAGAGTCAACGACCAAAGCGAGGTGGGAGGGTCCAAGCCCCCATGCTGCCACACGGCACATCAGGGGCAAGTTTGGCTCAAGTGCTGGGGCCCCGTTACTTGGTGGAAACAGACAATCACAAGCTCTTGCCTTCCGGAGGATCTCAATGGCGCTTCCATGGTGGAGTATTTCTATGCTGGAGCAAGTACGACCTCAGCTGCCAATTGGGAGAGAGCAGCGACAAAATTGTTTGGAGCACGGGATTGGGGAGAGAGAGAAAGGGTCATTAACACCTCCACGGTGAAGAGATTATCAGGAATCTGAGGGCTAAATTGTGCCAGCTGCATCGGTCATCAGTAGGATTCAGAGTAACCACCACATTCAGCGCCAGCTCAACCCAGCCCCTTGACTCTGTTTCCCACCCCCCACAGAGATTGTCCGGGCCATGACATACGTCATCGATCAGGGCATGGCCTTGTATTGGGGCACATCGCGCTGGAGTGCTGTGGAGATCATGGTGAGCAGCAATGCGGGCACCTGGGATGGCCGGGAGGCTCCCCCACACACATACACTCACCCCTCCCCCATCACAGGAGGCCTACTCGGTGGCGCGGCAGTTCAACCTAGTGGCGCCAGTGTGTGAACAGGCTGAGTACCACCTCTTCCAGCGCCACAAGGTGGAGAGCCAGCTGCCCGCTCTCTACCACCACATCGGTGAGCCAGGGCTGGGAGGTGCCTGGGAGCCCCCGGGGGTGGGGAGGAAGCAGGTAGGAACACAGTGGGGGTGGGGGGGCAAAGTGGCTCTGGTTTGGCCGTCAGTAGGTTTCAGAGTAAATGTCACATTTGTGGCTAGCTCTGCTCTCTGTGCTGCCCATCAGTATGTTTCAGAGTCAGCACTGCAGTCATGACTGGCCCCGTTATCCACAGCTGGCCCCAGCTGCGATTTTGGGCATCAGTAGGTTTCAGAGTAAACACCAAGTTTGAGGCTAGCTCTGCCCTCTGTGCGGCTACCCCCAGCTCTATGTTGGCCATAAACACATTAGTGGCTAGTCCTGCCCTCTGTGTGGCTACCCCTGCCCTCCGTGTTGGTCACCTGTAGGTTTCAGAGCGAACATTGTGTTTGGGGCCAGCCTTACTGTCTGTGTAGCTAGCCCCAGCCTCTGTCTGTCATGGGTAGATTCCAGGGTCAACACCCCAATTACAGCTAGCCCCGCCCCCTGTGTCTGCCATCAGTAGGTTTCAGAGTGAACACCTGAAAGTGTTGCTCTACCTGTCACCAATAGTTTTCAGAGTAAATGCTGTGACTGTTGTGAGCACAGAGCTTGAAGGGAGGGTTATGGTGGGGGGCTAAGCCCCCTTCCCCCCCCCCATCCTTCACAGGGGTGGGGGCTGTGACCTGGTCGCCCCTGGCCTGCGGGCTTATCACCGGCAAGTACGAGGAGCGGGTGCCTGAGAACTGCCGTGCCTCCATCAAGGTAAGGGGGGGGCAGTGCTGGAGACCCCTGTGTGGCCCCCTTCATGTGGCTCCCCTCAGACTGGTGCCCCCTCCCCCCCAGGGCTACCAGTGGCTGAAGGAGAAGGTGCAGAGCAAGGATGGGCAGCACCAGCAGGCCAAGGTCAAGGAGCTGCAGCCACTCGCCACACGCCTGGGCTGCACTGTAGCCCAGCTGGCCATTGGTGAGGGCGGGGCTAATGGGATGCTGGGATAGGGGAGGTCTGGCTGGGGGTAATGGGTAGGGGGGCACAAACAGGAGATGCTGGGAGGTGGGGGGAGGAGGTCTGGTAGTGGGTAAGGGGAAGGAGAAGAGTTAGAGGGATGCTGGGATAGCGGAGGTCTGGTAGGGAGTAATTGGTGGGCAGAGGGTTAACCAGGTACTGGGATAGGGGAGGTCTGGTGTGGGGTAATGGGTAGGGGGAGCGTTAACAGGGGCTGCTGGGATGAAGGAGATTCACCGGGGTTGCTGGGATGGAGTAATGGGTAGGAGGAGGGTCAACAGGAGATTCTGGGATAGAGGAGGTCCAATGGGGTGCTGGGACAGGGTAGGTTTTTGTAGTGGGTAACAGATAGGGGGAGGCCTAGCAGGGGATGTTGGGAAAGGGGAGGTCTGGTAGGGGGTAAATGAGCAGGGGAAGGGTTAACAGAAGGCTGGGATAGGGGAGGTCTAGCAAGTAACAGGGAGGGTGAATGGGTTTCTGGGATAGGGGAGGTCTCCAAGCAGGGGAACAGGGGCTGCTGGGATAGGGGAGGCCAGCTCAGCACCACCCTGAGCCTACCCGTGCCTGTACCTGTACCCGTGCCCACCCAGCCTGGTGCCTGCGCAGCGAGGGCATCAGCTCTGTGCTCCTGGGCGTGTCCAGTGTGGAGCAGCTCCTAGAGAACCTGGGCGCTGTCCAGGTGAGCCTGCCTGGCTGCCTGGGTCCTTTCCCCACTGCCAGCAGGGGAGGGGGCCTGGTGGCTCTAAAGTAGGCATCCCTGGGTGGAGCAAGGGAGCTGCACTCCTGGGATCCTTCCCTGTTCAGGGAGGCCTGGACACCTGGGTCCCTCCTGGCTCCGAGGAGCCAGTGAGGCCTAGTGACCCAGATGCCTGCGTGCCCCGCAGGTGTTGGCCCAGCTCACAGCGCCAGTGTTGCAGGAGATGGAGGCGTTGCTGGGCAACAAGCCAACCACCAAAAAGGAGTCCCGGGCGTAAGGACACGGCGCTCGGGGCTGGCCCCGCCAGTGTCCCTGCCCCCCTGGCCCCTGGATTGGCTGTCGCTTCGTGCATGAGCCTCCATCCCCCACCTGTACTGTTCTGGAACCGGGCAAGCAGCCCGGTTCCCCAATGGGAGCTGCTTGCACGGTGGGCATGTGCCACGGAATTGCCCCC